GGGCGGGAGGTCAGCGTATCTGTGGCTGCACATCTGCTCACAAGAGAAGAGCGTTCCGACATTCTCACCCCTGCCTCGTGGTGAGGCTGCGGCCGCTGCCCCTGCCACACCGGCCTTGGCACCGGGCATGGCCACTTTGGCGGCGATGAAACCGGTTTGAATGGCAAAGTGTGGGAAGCCGGCAGGGCATGAGTGGGGCGGACCGCCCGGGGGAAGGGAGGTGGAGCGAGGGGAGGTCAGCGGGGCGGTCGGCTGTGCTGCCGTGCGGGCGTCGCTGCGGCGGGTGAGCCATCCCCACCACCCGTGCAGGGTTTCGTAAAAGGGCTGCTTTCGTGACCGTCGTCTACGAGGTGGTTTTCCACAAGGAATACAGCACAGTACTCCAAGTTCTGTTTTATATTCGACCCCGTCATGTTGTAGCGTCTGGTTTCCTGTGTGTTTGGTGATGTGCACTACAGGCCGGCACAACGGTGTGTGCTTGTTATTTACGAGTGAACACACAACTCTTGCGTACTAGAGAGTCTGGCCAGTCTTTGCCCCCAGTTCCGGGGTGCTAACCTCCAAACCCCCCAACACTCCCAAGTGACCGGAGCGCCTCTTACCCGTGGTGTTGGGTCTGCAGAGCACCCCTGACACTTTATGCTAATGAGAGGACTCCCCTGACAGTTTATGCTAATGAGAGGACTCCCCTGGCAGTTTATGCTAATGAGACAACTCAGAATGAGGGGAGGTGTGGCCACGCCAGGACTGCGGGAGGAGAGGGTGGGCACTTTGGGTCAGGGGCCGCCCTCTCGGGAGGGGCTGAACCTCGTGGGCGATGGCGCGGCCACTCCCACCTGCGTAGTGACGCCGCGATGACGCCCTGCATGGCAGGGCCGGGGGCTTCCCTGGTGGGCAGTTCTCGGTGACGTCGTCCCACGTCAGTGTGTGCCGGCGGGAGCCCTCCCACGTCTCGCCGAACGCGTCTCTCTGGCTGCTGCTGACTTGGACCTTTCTGTTCTGACGAAACTACAACTGTGAGCTTAACCCTGTCCGGAACCCTGTAGGTCATTCTGATGAATTCTCACACCTGAAAGTGGTCATGGGAAACCCTCGATTTGTAGCCAGCTGGTCTGGGTGAGGGTGGCCACGGGGACCCCAAAGTTAGGGACCCCGGCTTAGAAGTCGCATCCGAAGCGAGGCCAGTCTGGTGCAGGGCTGTCCCCTCAACCTCGGTTACCTCCGGGGAGACTCTGTTTTGACGATCACTCAACACTTTCAACGGCTGTGAGTGTTGGTGCGAAAGGTTTGGAATCCACTGAGGACCCTGCTCAGACCTGCGACCTCCCTCCCCTCACCTGCCACCCGCCGGCTGTCACTTTCAGCATGCTTTGGGAAGGAAAACTATTTTTAAAAAAGCTATTTGGTCTTTCTAAGTAAAATTAGGTCACAGTGCATGACACACCGTCACTGGGGACATCAGACTCTGAGGGGACGGAGACGGGGCGTCCAGTTGGGCTGCGTCTGAGCTCTGCCACCGAGACCACGAGTCCTGCTCCTGCTTTGGAAACGGGCGGCACAGACGGGGAAGGCGAGTGACGAGACTGCACGAACGTTGTCCAGCTGCCACCGAGCCGCACGCCAGGCGCCCGGAGCCATCATCTCTGGGGACAACACTCTCCCACGACTGCTTCGCTGTTTTCTAGTTTTCTCTTTTGAGTAGTTTTCTCCCATGGTTATTTCTTCACCTAGAAGTAGGGGTGTGGCTCACAACTGATAATCAGAATAATTATCTTCATGAACTGAACTGCAAAGATGAGCGGCAAGCCCACCCAGCAGCAGAGGAGCACACGGGGCACCAGAACCCTGCAGCCGGAGGAGGGGCCCTGTGCCAGACTGGGGGGGGGCACAGGGCGCGAGTGCCAGTGGCTCGGCTGGACTGCGTCAGCTCAGACCTGGCCTGGGAGAGCTGTCCCTTCCTTCCCCAGTGCACGGCCAGCGGCGCTGGTCAGGCGGACTGACGGTCGGTGGCCGATGGCCCAGGTGGGAGGGGTGGGCTGCGCCCTGAGAGGAAGAAGCTGGTGACGAGGTCCTGTCGACGGCGGGCCTGTGCACGCCGGCGGGACCAGGGAGGCCACAGTGGTGACTGCTGGTGTCCGAAGCCCAGACCCTGCTCTCTAAGGGGGGCATCTCCACCCCACAGGTTTGCTCTCAAGCCACCACCACCACCTCCCGCCCAGAAACCAGGCTGAGCAGCCAGGCCTCGGGAACGCGCTCTCATCCCAGTCTCCTCCCCTGCGGGCAAGGGCCCTCACTGTCCCTCAAGATGAGTCTGCCCAGGGACAGGGAGCTCCTCTCCACGTCAGAGGGACAATCTATCAAAACAGACAGAAACCAAGGACGTCCTGTGAGGAAACGCTGGTATTGGCAATAAATGTCAAGACGCAAAACCGCACAGAAGGACTCCGCTTCCAGAGAGACGTGAAGCAGCACAGACAGCAGCCGCAGCTGGAAGTGCCCTTCCTCCCCGAGTCCAAGCCTGCCGTCCACGCCCCCCGCTCCCTGCGGACCCTCCCCCAGGTTCGGGCAGCCTCGAGGGGGTGGCTTCCAGCCTTTCCCCTGGCGTCGCCACTCACGGGGTGGCAGCCCCCCCCCAAAGCACAGGGACAGGACGGCACCCCCGGCCCCTCGTCTGCTCCTGTGGACGTCTAGACCGGCACACTGGCCACCAGGACGGGCCGCAGGCCCCGGTCTCGATGCCACAGGCCACGCCCCGGGCCACGGGAAACGATCTCTGCGCGGGGACGACGCGTGAAGGGGCAGTGCGGGCAGCAGGCTGCGTTTGGGTTTCACGTGAGTCTGTGAAGGGAGCTGCGGCCTCGGAGCCGGGTGTCCTCCCCACGCAGACCTGGGCTCCGGCGGGGCAGGGGGGGGGGCGTCTGCAGGGGGAGCGTGACACCCGTCAGAGCCGCGGGAAGGAGTGTCCCCCTGAAGACCCAGTGACAGGGGACACTCCCGGACGCCCAGCGTGTGGCGGGGAGACGCGGGGGCACACGGCTGCGCCCCAACCCGGACGCTGTCCCCCCAGCTGTGACGGGGGAGCCCGAGCGGCAGACAATGGGCCTCCTGGCCGAGAGGAGGGAACCCCGAACGCAGGCTCAGCAGACGCTGGGCACGTCTGGGGTGCTGATGTCAGGTTCAAGTTCTTTCGTATCTGACACGCGCTCACCCTGAGATCATTCCACACTTCCGGAGAAAGAAGGGGGCAACGTTTGAAGCCGAGAATATTTGAAACAGGTATTCAGGATACCTCTATTTTCTCGAAGTCTGGAGCTACAGAATCGCTCCCCTCGACTGGACAACCCCGGGGTCTTCTCCTGACCAAACCGCAGGTTCCGGCAGACAGGGCCCGGCGAGTGCGTGCGGTGCCGGCCAGGACGGCACACATTCTCACCACGGGGGACACCACGGGGGACACGGGCAGCCCCGGGCAGCGCCCCTGGGGTGGCCGCAGCCCCCAGCTTCCCACCTCTGGTCACCAGGCCGCTGGGCAACATGGGAACATCGGCAGCCGAGTGCCTTCCCGGCGCTGCCCCCCTTCGGTAGCTGCGGCGGTGGGGGGGGGGCCCTTGCCTTCGAGGAAAAGCGCCTGCTGCGGGCGCCTGGGTGCGGTTCTGAGAACCGGCCGCAGGGGCAGCGTCACGGGCCGGCGTCACGGGCACACTGGTCGCGGACAGGGGCCGCCCGGTCGGCATCACAGGCCAAGAGGAAAAGAGCTCTCGGTTCCCGTGAGAGGTTCCAGAGGCCACCACTGGACTCTCGGGCCCCCTGGGGCTGCAGAGGGCCCTGCGCTCGGGGCGCACCTGCCTCGCCTCTCCAGGGGCCCCTGCAAGTGCCCCCAACTCCCTCGGGTGGGTTTTCCTGGCTCGATAGACGGGGGTCTCGCAGGGTCTTTTTAGTGCTGGTTGTGAAGCCGCTGTTGACGCGAACCCAATTCACCAAACACAGGACGCTTCTTCCGTCCGCTGGGGATTCCCCGAGAGCCGGCCGGGCGCCAGGTCCGTCCCGGGACGACGCTGCGTGTGCGCCGCACGGACTGTCTCCTCCCCCCACCTCGGGGGCCACGCGGCCTCCAGGGCGTCGTGGAGCCCATGTCAGTTTGACCGTGGCTGCCACGCCCCACGCAGCTCCCCTGCCCTGCCAGGCCCTGGTCCCGAGCCTTCCTCAGGCTGCCCGGAGCCCCAGCCCGTCCAGCTCTTCCCCCAGAAGCCGCCCGCTCAGCCTGCGACAGCCCGAGCTCGGGAGCACAGCTGGGGGCAGGAAGGCCCCGGTGCGGACCACGCTCACCTCACCGGGCAGAGGGGCTTTCGGAGAGTTTGATTAGCCCAGAGGCTGAAAAGGTTCTGGTTTTACCTTTCCCTTTGTCCCAGCCTCTGAAACTTTCAATTGAAAGAAAACCTGAAAACTACTGAACGCGTCTGGACGCAGCATCAGCAAACTTTCACCGTAAACGGCCCCTGGGCCCCCAGGGGGCCGTGGCGGCTTCTCTGCGGCTGTCCTGTGAGTCCCTCCCAGACCGCAGCAGCGGGCCCAGCTGTGCTCTAACACAACATCACTCACAAAGCAAGTGGTGGCCAGCACGGAGCCCACAGGCCAGGCTGGGCCCGTGCTTCAGTTTCTAGATCCCTGTGTCGGGCCGGGAAACTTCCCAGCTGTGCATCACTTGTGGGCTGGAAAATGGAAAGCAGTGGGCTGGCCCCACCGAGCTGGGAACGACAGGAGGGGAAGCGCCAGGTGAACAACAGGGCGAACATTCACCCCCCCCCCGCCTCCCCCGTCATCTCTGGTCAAGCCCTCGGGAAGGAGCTGAGCACGCAGGCACCTGGCAGCCGCACGAAGGGCGTGTGGACCCGAGTGTGCGGCAAGCACAGACCACCTCGGGGTGTGGTGTCGCCGGGAGGAGGAGCAGCCGGGGGTGGACACCGCCGCTGCCGCGGGCGACGGGGCGCCCGCCCACTCACCAGTCCTGCACGGCGGTGAAGGAGCCTTCGTTGGTCACGTCGTACATCAGCACGAAGCCCATGGCCCCTCGGTAGTAGGCGGTGGTGATGGTGCGGTACCTCTCCTGGCCGGCCGTGTCCTGAAAACAGCAACGAGGGGCTCTTTAGGATGAGGCGCTCTGCCTTCTGGAAAGCAGCTAATGATCCCAGAAACAGTCATAACAGAGTCTAAGCCGCCGTACCGGCAGCCTGTAGCTACGTATCCACTTCAGTATCAGTTTTCCTAATGATTTCTACATGGTAGCTCTGCAAATTATGGACATTCTTTTTTTGGGGGGCGGTAAAGAGCACCTTGTACATATCTCACTCCCATTAAGCAGCATCTCACTACCTAAAATAAAAGAAAATAAAAGAAAAAGGAAGACCACACACATGAAAACACGCGGCGGCATGATTTAAAACCAGAAGCGTGCGTCCCCTGTCCCCCAGGCCCTCACGGTCTGTGCCGGGCAGGCGGCAGTGGGGGAGCTGGTGCCTGAGCGGCAAGGCCTCCGCTCTGAAGAGCCAGCAGCCTAGTGGCAGTTAACTCAACAGAGCCTGAGGGCAGAAGCGCCCTCTTTGTGCGGATGTCCGAGTCACACAGACCTGGGGCTCCTGCCTGCCCCTCAGAGAGCTGGGCCTGAGCCTCTGTGGGTCTGTGGGGTCTGCTGGGGCTCCGGGAGGGAAGGATGGGGGCCAGGGGCCTGCTTGGGGACGTGGCCGGCAGAGGGGGTGCCAGGCTCACGTGAGGTGGGAGGCAGAGCGCCGTTTGCACGGAGACAGTTCATGCCCGTCACAGACGCTGTGCCGTGTGGCCACCCCCACTCGCAGGGGCCGGGCAGACGGGGCCCCTCACCCCGGAGATGGGGCTCTGACGTTCCCCCAGGACGTGAGGTGCTCTGAACCCGTTTTTCCGGAAGTGACCTTCTCCTTCTGACTTCAGTCCAGACCGCCTGTCCCCCTTCTCCTCGGGTGCCCCCTGGGCACGCAGCATGCACCCCAGTGGCCCCACGACTTAGCAGGCCTCGAAGGGAGAGCCAACAGCAGGCTCCTTTGTCATCGGGAGGAGACCAGCCTCTCCCCGCCTCGCCGTGAGGACAGGGTCGGGCTGGGTCCGCAGGCTCCTCTCCCACAGGAGCCTCCAGCCGGGGTGCCGACGCCTGCCCCCCGAGAGCTAATGGGGGAGCCTCAGGCCCACACACAGCTCCCCGAGACACGTGTGGTGCCACCTGTGTGGCCCCTGGGAGTTCAGAGAAGGGGGATCGGAGATCTGGGAGCGACTGTGGGAGAAGGCGGGGGCGGGGAGGGGACGCAGGCCCCAGCCGAGGCTGTGACCTTTGGCAGAGCCAAAGGCGATTCTGCTGCCTGGGGACTCGGGCTGATTTCCCATGAATGTGTGCTTCTGAGGCTGAAAACCACAGCTGGAAATCTCTTACAGAGAAAATGAGGAAGAAAACTATGACTAAAAGAAAACTTTCTTGTATGGGAGTTAGTTTTTATCTCTCTCCCTTTTAAGAAAAATACAATCATTCTACTTGGTTTAAATATTTTGATTTCTCAGTCGTGTGTCTAGAAGAGATTTTTGGCTTGGATGACAGGTCTGACTAGCAAATCCTTCAGCATCTGTCAAGAAAAGGGCCGTGAAGTGGGACACGTTAGCAGCCTGGTGGGTAGTAGCTGAAAGCAGTTTCAGTGGGAATTTTGGCATTTTTACCTTTGTTTTTGCCTTTAATTTCCTCTTTGATAGAACATTTCATTTTTTAGCTATATGTACTGCACTTTTAGACCCTTTGGAGGTCACGTAGAGATAAGATGCAGTTTTAACGCTGAGGAAATAGCTTTCATTTGTAAGGTCTGGGTTACACTGTAATTTTGTTGCTGTTGTTTCGGTGGTTACTTTTCTCTGTGTTGGATTAAATGAAAAATGGAAGTAACCATTAGTGAGGAAACATAACTCAAACAGTGTTGCCACAATCGAAACACACTTACTGAATGTCTACACGGAGAAAAGTAGATTGAAGGACAGACAATCCTGGTACGCGATACAGCCGCTAATTCTATAGCTGGAGAAACCGAACCAAGACATGTTGCTGCTCACTGGTCAGCAAAATAACTTAAATGAGCCACAGAGGAGGCGGAGTGGTGACCCGAAGGGGGTGTCGACCGAGAGGCAGGGTGAGAAACACGGCACACGCGCGAGCTGTGTGCCCCCAGACGCGCACAGGTGAGGAACGGCCTCCGCCAGTCGTCAGCCCTGGAGCGGGGAGGGAGCCCCCCACCCGCACTCTGCTGCGCTCCACCTGGGGGACTATTTTGCGTTACCAGAGGAAGGTGAAATTTGCTCAGTGTCTTGACTACGTAACGACCGGTTCGCTCATCCACTCCCTCACTCAATAAACATTCAGTGAGTGCCTGTTGCCAGTTAGGGACTGTGAGTTGTATGTTGAATTCGTTTCATCAACTCCAGATATATTTTTGTATATTTTTAAATTCCACACATAGAGCATTTCGTTAATCAGAATATCATATTCCCTACGTGTCTACAAAAGATTAGATAAAACTGTGACGAGATCATTTCTAATAAGCCAGACAGTATAGCCAGCAGTTTGAAACTGCAACCAGTACCACGCCTTTGGCTCAGAGGGGTGGTTGTCTGATTCGCACCCACTGTGTGGGTGGCAGTTTGTTCCCCAGAAAAGACAGAGTCCGAACCCCCAAACCCGTGGATGGGGCCTGATTTGGAACCAGGGCCTTTGTGCTGGACGAGAGTGGGCCCTGCTCCAGGGACGGGGCTCCGTCCAGAAGAGCAAACACAGACGCAGACGCACGGGGGCTGCCTGAGGGCGGAGGCAGGGACTCAACAGCTGCCTCAACAGGCCAAGGGCGCCAAGGACCCCAGCAGCCACCGGACACTGGGACACAGGCCTGGACCCCGCGCAGCGGAGAGGCAGTGCGACCCTGGCAACCCCAGGGGTCAGGGCGTCCAACCTCCGGAACTGCGAGCGGCCATCTCTGTTGTTTCACGCCGTCCGGTCTGTGGTGCTCTGTGACGTGGCCCTGGGGAGCTCATTCAGCTGCCCACCCCGGTTTGCCGTCTGGGCGACCAGGCAGAAGCGGCCGCCCGCACGTCCACGCGCTGCTTCCCGGGGCGACGATAAGGAGAGCTCAGGGAGCTGACCAAGAGGCCGTGCCACTCTCCCGTGGGAGTCACGCTGCCTGTTGGGCTAAAAGGCATCCATACATTACTCTTCAGTAAACATAATTCGGTTCCAAAAAAGCAGAGGCGACACAGCCTGTTGTCTTAAAGAAGTAGGTCTTCATATACACGAATGCACATAGCTCAGCGATGTTCGACATTTGCCATCTCACGGCACACAAACTAATCACCAAAACTCTGTGGCAATGTGACAAAAACTCGCTGTAACTGTGACCCAGTCACACCAGATGGCTGTTGTGCTGGCCGTCGTCATTTTTTCACTTCACAGTCCAGGGGAAGAGAGGTCCGTGCCCCGACGAAACAGTCAGGTCCCGCATGTTTAAAATTTCTTGTGGCACACTGGTTGAAAACCGCTGATACAAGGATATGCACGTGTACACATATGCTCATTAGAAAGACAGGCAATACTGCCTGAAACGACAAAAGTCGTCCATTGCTTCACGTCGGAGGGTCACCTCCAGGTGACCGAGGCGCCGTCACAGGGAACTCTGTGGTCACCACGCGCGGGGACAGAACCGCACGGCCACAGAAACGGCCGAGGGCCGCCTGCCACACGGCACTTCCTTCGTCCGGCGCTGCTTCCTCCACAGTGGCTTTCAGTTTTTTCATTTCCACAAGTGGGCAGGATAAAGTAGCACTGAATTTAGTCTTTTAAAAATAGTAAGCTAAACATGAAGCTTAAATATTTTATGCTTTCTTCCTGCATACTTATTTTTGGAATGAAATAAGAACTTTCTTCCCTTGTGGCAGTTAGTCTTCCATTAAAATAAAATTTACAAGCCCCCGTCCCCACTGACCTTGTGCAGAGAGCAGGTGTGGGGTCCTTCACATGGGCGGGAGTGCAGGCGGCGGTGACTCCAGCCCACACGTCAGGGGACGGTGCTAATGAGCCTCTACCTCGCTCCTCGGTCCACGCGGCCCGTCTTGCCACCCGCCTGCCTCTGTCCACCCTCCTCGCACCAGCAGGTCTGCCGATCAGATTGTCTTCTCCTGACGTTTCGCGTGGAAACGCTCAGATCTTCATTTTACAAAAGCACCCACTTCTGACTGAAGCCTGATAAAAAGAAGCCTGAGGCAGGATACACTTGACCTATTCCTTCTCGCCATGTTGCCATGGCGATCCATCTTTCCCAGAGGAGGGGACGGGCGTATAAAGCTCTTTTATGGGGCCTTTGACCCCAGTGCCAGCAAGACCCCAGGGCTGTGTGTTTCTGCTCGTGGAAGCTGGAGACATTTCTCAGAAAACATCATCCAGCACCCCCCCCCCACCTGAATACAGCACACAGCCAAGCCGGGTGAAGGCACCTCGGCTCATTTTGTTTTCCAGGAAGGGTGAACACAAAGGCAGGGAAAGACGCCATTTTCGATTTCTTTCCAATTAATCTTTTTGACATGCTTCTTCCCAGTGGGATTTTGATTATGCTCAACTTTGTCAAAACCTGGGGCAGCAACAGGGAAAGGCGGGCAGCTCGGAGCTGGCGGCCACGGCTGGGGGCAGCTCCCCCCAGAGCGTGGCTCAGAACGCCCGCACCAGAGCAAATCTCTGCTTCGGAGGAAACGTGCCTTTCCGTGGGACTCTCGTTGCCGCCCTAAAATAACAGGCAGCAGAGACTCCGTGCAGAGGGTCGGCTGGTTGCAGGGGCAGCTGCCCGGGCGGTGGGGTGTCTGAAACGGGAGGGGTCGTGGGGCCGGGTGGGGAGGTGGGCAGGGGGGATGCAGGAGAGATTCTGGGGGTGGGAGAGCCCCTCACGGCGGCACCTGCACTGAGACCGGGCTGCGCCCTGGGCAAGGGGGCGGGGGGAAGCTGCGGGATGCTCCAGGGGAGGAACCCACGCAGAGGCTCCCTGCTGGGGCCGAGGGCGAGCCAAGAGCAGGCTGCGACTC